TAGTTGAGCCCATGTGTCATCACGATAAATTGCTTATAGCTGATTGCTTTCACACCATTATTGGGGCATAACTGATAGCACCTCATAGACCTAAAAAAGGGACCCAAGGTTGATTACCACAACTAAATAGTACCAAGTCATATAGCATCCATGGTGCTCTCAAAACAACATCTTAACTTGTAAACTTGAGTAGAGTTGAGATCCATTCATTCTTTGACTTTGGCTTCGACCATTTACTTTCTCAAAACTATTTGATATGTATGTAGGTAATGAACTATGGCATACAAAATTTAGCCTATTTGCATTCTAGGTGGTTTCTCATCCAAATATACAGCAACTGTAAACATCCAATGAAACACCCATCATCTTTTCATCGATAATGATTTAAAGACCAGATGGTTTTAGCTAGAATTATTGATGTCACATTTATCTGATGCTCTACTTGATCAAAAAAATCTACCACTATGACTTTGATGTGTCTTAAGAATTTAGGGAATATCACCCTCTCATAAAGAGCTAAAGCCATCATGCTCATACATTGATCATCTTTCAAATACTCAATAAAGAGGTCTCATAAAAAATCTCAAGGTATATAAGTACCTTCATTTTTTGACTTCACAAGTTTGTCAACCTTTTGCACACTGACCCTCATTTTTTTTTTTTTTTGCGATAGCTTGACTTTTTATTTTTCCAATAGATCTTATCAAGTTTGAATGATTAAGATGAAGTAAAACTGAATATTTGTCAATTTTGATACCATATCCATTTCATTAAATAAAAAGTATCTATACGAGGGATCCCTAAACTATACTATGGCTCGGACCAAATTACTGTCAACAACCGCTAAAATGAATAATGCCTAATCCCCATATATTTTCTCAAAAAGCCTCTTGTCTTGTTTCACTCCAATGCTTTCAAATGCTAGTCAACTCAATGAAATCATTTTGTCTAAGGTCAAGATGGATCTTTCCTAGAAAAGTGCACACATGATCTTTTGGCAGGCAATCTCTTTGTTTACGTTGGGTGTCCTCAGATCTAACTTTTAAACTATCAAAAGTCTCATACTGGGTAAGTGTAGTCTTAGCTTACAATAAACTCCCATAGATGCAAATGGGATCACCTCATCATCAATTGCTATGTAGTAAATACCTCATTATATAAAGATCAATGTCTGCAAATGCATGATAATGAAATGAATCAAATAGAACAATGCAAATCATAATGTCAAATTTTCCTATTAAGGGGTGTTCTTTTATGTGTCTTGGTTTGGGTCATAGCTCTACACAACAGGTTGGCATGACTCTATCTTAAAACGAGTTACTTAGGTTTTTTATATGCTGAGCTTCGATATTAGACAGGCTAAAAGGCTCTTAGATTGTTCTTCACTATCATCCATACTAGACTAGTAAGGCACTTCAATCCTCACCCATTATAGATCACAAGCGAAAAGAGTTTAATTTGAGTTGAAGTATTTTGCTAATCTGTGTGAAGGTTATCACTTTATAAAGGTGGTAGGTACTTTACTTCCTCTTAAAAGGGATTAAGCTTGGGTCAAGAGCTTATGCTTGCATATGCACGTGTAATGTGTGTGAAGGAACTTGTTGTAGACATCCCAATTTATCTGGGGTTGTAATTGTATTTTTTTTTTATGTTAAACAAAATTAAAAAATTTAGGGAAGTTTGGGATGGTTAAGTTTATCTAGGATTTTTTTTTCTTATTATAAAGTTGGGGTTGAAATCAAAGTCTAAAGTTTAAACCAAAAAGAAGTTAAAACTCTTTTTGGTTTAGGGATCTCATAATTTAAACCCTATAAATACCCCATCAGATTCAACATAAAGGGAAACAAAAAAAAGAGAGAGATATACATAGTAAAAAAGCAAAGAGAAAAAGTTAAAAAAAATTTTAAAGTTTTTTTTATATAGTCTTTTATGGTGCTTTGGGTTTAGATAATTAGGATTTTCTTTTAAGAGTTATGTGCTGGAGAATGGAGTTGAAAAGAAACACAAAAGGGAGATATTCAACAAAAGTTTTGGCTATACAATTTTCAAGGATTTCGAAGAAACCAAAAAAAAGACAAAGTAATTTCTATTTTTTTCTCTCTTTATTTGTATATTTATTTATGCTACTTAGTTATTTCTCTTTCTTCTTTATTTAAAATAAATTTTTATAATAAATTTTCAATCATACCAAATGATTAGAGGATTTTTTTTTTTTAAATTATGAATTCTATCAAATGATTGAAGAATTTCATAATAGATTTTAAGAAAAAATAAAATAAATTTTTAATCCTACTAAATAATTGAAAGATTTAGATTTTTTTAAAATTTTATCAAATTATTTGAGGATTTAATGACCTTTATTTTTTAAAAATTTTTCATAAAAAGATTTTCAACAAAAAATCCCACCAAATGATTATGGGATATGCATTGATATAAAATCTTACCAAACGATTTGAGGATTTTATTTATTGATTTCAAAAGAATGATTTCTTAGAAAATATATTAATGAATCTAATGACGAAGCATCTTTAACACGAGTCTCCATGAATATTCCTGAGATAAAAAAATTATCTTAAATTGCTAGAGGTAGGGTTAGTTAACGATTGTGATCAACTCGACAGTCGATGGCTGAATTCTTGGTTAAGGTTTGCTAGAGGTCTGGTTAGTTAAGAGAGTTTTGACTTTTTTTTTTAAAGGTAGGGTTTGTAAATAAAGTAGAAAAAATCTTTGGTGTTTATAAAAGAAGAAGAAAAAAGAACCTAACTTATGCATAGACCCAATCAGGTTTCGAAGTCCATTTGCTTGACTTGTTTTGCCTCATTTCAATTTTTTTTTGCAAATTTGGCTAAACCGACCAGCCCACATCCCTTAATGCTTGAATCGACAATCAAACCACTATTGAACTAGCCAAACTATTCCAAAGTGCTTGCAAATCGCCAGTTGAACTAGTAAATTGCTCAAATTGACAGTTAATTACTTTGAACCATAAACAGGCTTTGACCGTTTTTTTTTGGGTAAATTTTTTATTATTTTCTTTCCTTTTTTAATATATTTTTATTAAGTTATTTAGTTATGCACATTTAAATTTTGAAGTTTTAAACAAATATACATTTTTAAAGAGGGTGTTAAAAAAATCTTTTTAAAAAGAACAAAAAATGAAAATCCTCCGATGATAGGATATTAAAGGATTTTGAATAGTAATCTTTTAAAAATCTTTAGGTAAAAATATTTTTCGAAAATGCTATCAAAGTATTAGAGTATTTAGAAACATAATCAATGTAAAAAAGTTTTCATTTACTTATTATTCTTTAATTAAAAATAATAAATAAATAAATAACATATATATAGAATAATAAAAGAAAAGATTTAAAAAAATTTTACATGTAATAAAGCATGAATATTAAATGCATTAATTAATTAAAAATACGAGTATCTGATAATGAGATTTTAAGAAAATTTTAGTAATGATTTTTTAAAAAATCTCTAAATGAGAAATTTTTTCAATGTTACCAATGTACTAAAACATTTTAAGAGTTTTTTTAACAAAAATATGTTAATTTATTTTTTCTAAATAAAAAAGGAATAATATTTTAAAAAGTAAAATAAATAAATAAAAATAAAAGAGAAAATTTTGTGAAAAAGGTGAAATAAAAACATAAAAAAAACCAAAATTATGACAAAAAAAAAAAGAAAGTTAAAGAAATTAATTCTAAATACCAAAATTAAAACCTTTTTATCCAAATTAAAATATGATAAATAATTATTGTTTTTAAACGGATGTTGTATTAGAACTAATCTTTCCTTACACATAACCATACTCCTGAACTTAAACTGTTTTTGCAAACCTTAAAATTATTTTTTAATAAAATTTTAATTAATTTTAAAATTTTATTAAAAAATAAGTTTTAATAAATAATCAATTATACCTAATAAAAAAAATTAAGATGACTCATTTTTTTTAAATCATCTAGCAGCTCCAAAATTGTTTTGACAATATATACTCTAATTTATTCCTCTTATTTTCTATTCTTATATAATATCAATTTCATTCCATTCTGCTTTATTTCGGTTACCAACCATGTCTATATCATTTCATTAAGAATCGACAAGACAAAAGCTACTATTTCCTACATCCTACAACGCTGTGGGCTTTCGCTATCAAAGTAGCGATGGCAATGGATGGTAAAAATAGATAACGCTCATTATTTAATCCGTTTATATCAAATTCGAATAGTTATAAATAAATAATTAATGGATTCAAATAATTATTTTACTGTTTGTGACAGATTTGAAGTAGATACAAATAATATCTCTTAAATATTTAATATCTAAATTCGTTTAAGTTTTAATTAATAATAATGTATATTCAAATCTATTACTCATTTACATATGTGAAATATATAAAATTTTATATTTGTAGAGAGCTTCAGATCTTAAAAAATAATTTTTATTTATTATTAATTAAGAATGAACTGAATTTTAAATTAAACTTTTGTTTATTTTTTATTTTAACAAAAAATTTAAGTAACATATATTTTAATGAATTCAAATATTTAAACGAATAATATTTATTTTAATAAATTCAAATTTGAATAACGATATAAAATTTAAATATTATAAATATTAAATATATTTAAACACGAATATTTCAAAAATAACAAATATCCACTTCGTTCACATTCCTACTGTCAAGGGTCAACATCTAATGCCCACACATGATGCCTCTGGCTCCGTTAAGGATTCTTAGAAACCGGAAGTTTCGTTAAAAAAATTTCGAGAGATCAGACCACATTTCTTGCATGATTATTTTCTTCAAACAAGATAGGTTATTCCCATTACATGAAATGCAGCTAGGAAGCGAAACCCTCTAAAAATAACTCCTTAGACTCCTTGTTATCAGATAAGCCCTCTTTTTTTTTTTTTTAGGGTGGTTGTGGATTACTCTTAATTTCATGTAAAAGATAGTTATTTTTGAATCATTAGAAATTGACTGAAAATTTTTCCTATTAAATTATATTTGTTAACCGTAATGAGAAATTTGGTAAAAACCATAGTATTTTGGCAGGTATTTCAGTTTTTTCATGGTTACTGGCCAATTGCAACAAATCGTACAACCACAAACACCAAATACATTTAATCAAGAAAAACTAGATCACCAACCAGCTTGTATTTTTCCTTTTTTTTTTATAAAGAAAGCAACAACACTAGAATAGAAAAAAAAATTGTAAATGTTTAGATTCAAACTCGAGACAGGCTAAAATCACCTTTTAAAAGTGATTATATAAAGCAACTGAGATAAACTCTTGATTCAACCAGTTTGCATTTCAATCACCCTGATATGATGCTATATTCTCTTCTATCGATATAAGGTTAGCTAATCTACACAATAAAACATAAAGGGTCCAACTCTGGAGATATGTTAAACAAATAGAAAAAGCTATACTCAGTTATGTGTGAATATTCATCCTAGGGGCACTACAGGACATCACAATTGTGCCTAATGTGAGTAGAAAACATCAGGCTATAGAAATTTTTGTCATTTTCTCTTATCTTCCGTCGAGGGAGTTTCTGGCAACTAAACTGGCAATGATCATTTTCCACGTAACCAAATAAAAAGCTGATGATCACCATAAATAAGAGACGTGAAAGCAGAGACTCACTCAAGCTTGCGGAGAAATGGAGGAGGTTCTCAGCCATAAGGGCCGGCCTAATATGGCACTTCCATGAACAGAGAGGTAGGTGGCATTTAACCTAGCAATAACAGTCACAGACTTCAATTAATAATCCAAGAAACAATTAACCCGTATTTATTACAGAACCAGAAGAGAGAAACTTTACTTATCAACATCAGGTGTCGCCAATGGATCATATGACTCCTCTCTCTGTTCTACAGCTGGGACAGCACCTGCCATAGCTGCCATTTCCTGAGAACCTTCAACCTGCAAATCAATTGTAAATCTCAAAGTTAATTTTAAGCAGATTGAGGAAATTACTGTAACTTTCTTAATGGTGTATTCAAAACAGCAAGTTACTTGAAATTTTAAGTATCATGCAGCTAGCTAAAAAAAGGTTCTTCACTTTCTTAAAGGCATTCAGATCAGTAACTGCAAGTCAAATTATATACTTCAAACCTTCTCAGTGGCTACATTGCATGCAGGCTTTTGCAAAATCAGTGATGTAAATGTGGGGAAAGTTCTCTTGATTCTATAAAGATACACTATGAATGATACTATATCACTAATAAAGCTTGGAAAGTGCAGAACAAGCATTGGCACAAACATTTTGGTTTCATTAAGTGGTTCCTCCATCCTCCATATTCAATCTTTATGGAATTAATGTTATGAATGACCTCTGAACTTTAGTCAAATGTTCAATATGATACCTAAACTTTAAAAATATCTAATGTGATACCTGAACTATGAATTTGTTAAACTAATGTGATACTTACTCCTAACGTACCTAGCTTCTACTTATGACACGTGACGGACAAACAACCCTCCAAGTATCACATTAGTTAACAGATTTATATTTTAGTTTCTACATTAAAGATTTTTAAATTTCATGTATCACATTGAGTATTTTATTATGGTTCAAGGGCCATTAAACAACCCTCCAAGGACCACATTAGTTAACAGATTTATAATTTAGTTTCTACATTAAAGATTTTTAGAGTTCATGTATCATATTTGAGTATTTTATTATGGTTCAAGGGCCATTCATATGTCATAACATTATCCCTTCTTTATGTAATTACCAACAAGGTCAAATCGGAAAATAATCAATGCAAGTGTAGTAACCAATACCGCAAAAATTATTTCTAAATATCTATACAAATATAATATTTTATGAGAAAATATTACAGGCAGTAACTGTTACATGTGATCTAATGCTAATATGTTAAAAAGTTAAAACCTCTTGCCTGTTGGGGATATTGTGCATAGCCAGCATATGCACCATATGCATACAAAGAGGGATCCTGGGTAGCTCCATAAGCATAAGGATCATAGCCTTGTCCATAACCATAGTATGCGCTCCACTGACTTGGATCGACTTGTGTACCCCAGCTACCAGGTAGGTCCTAAAATAAGTAGTGCCAAATTTTGTCAAGCAAAGTAGCATTAATAGCTACCTACATAAAAAGGTTGACCATAGCCATTATATTGATCTAAATCTAAACAACCTTATATGGTGAAATAGTAGCTCTAATAAATAAATATGACAATAAATGGGCTTTCAGTCTATAAATTCGTTCAATGACCGTTTCATCCTATTTTTGACATACCATAACACCTTCTCTTCCTTTTTAATTTCTTTTGGGGGAGGGGGATTTCAAAGGAAACCAAACCAGAATCAATGCTATGGGGCACAAATAAAAGCATTTTGCCGTATAACTAAATGAAAAGTGTGAATTTGATAAATAAAAAATGTCACCTGTTTAGCTGTTGGGCTCCTACCCCATGAAATGCGGACAACTTGTTGACCAATCATTTGCCCCTGCATCCTCTGTATAGCTTCTTCAGCAGATGTCCTGCAGATGAAAAATAGTGGAAATGAAAAGTTACTAGGCATCATATCAGACAAAGGTAAGAAAATCAAAAGACTTGACTAATATACAAAAACAAGGTAAGAGGCACTGATGCAGTCCTACTTGATTATTTCTACTGCTAAAACTTCATCTCCCTCCATCATTAATCTTTATACAACTCTTGTCTAAGGGGAAAGAAAACTGTAATAGGTCTTCTAGGTCACCTACATAATAAGTTACAAACATGAAGAGGTCTTAAACTAAAATCTAGCTCATAATGATAAACACTCCTCCACACCCAACCCCCCCCCCCCCCCCAAAAAAAAAAAAAAATCAAGTGGAAAACATTTCCTGAAGTTACTAGCGCAATCATTGTTTCACTGGTTGTTACCTGGTTGCAAACTGTACAAAACCGCAGCCTTTGGCAACAGGAATCTTGACAAATAAAATCTCTCCTAATGGCAAGAAGAATTGCTTCAGTTCCTCCTCTGTGACATTTGGATCCAAGTTGCCAATAAAAATCTGCAAAAGATAGGATACTTAGTCATAGAGATAAGAGATAATTTCTCAAAGAAATTGCGTATGCCTCACTTACTGTGGTATTAGTATTATCATTATCTGGTGGAAGCATCTGCACAGGAGTTACGTACGCTGGAGCAGGGTATACAGCTGCATAAAAACCATGGATAAGTGCATTTTAGAATTTCTTGCCTTCATATGAGCATGTAAGTCTACAAATATACATGTATCTAATATCTAATATGGCTATAGTATCAAAGAGCAATGTACATACAGATATATATACAGGTACTCAAATACTTAGGGCCCCACTCCAAAGAAGTATGCATGTTGATAAACAACATGTTCACATTTCAACTAAACCAACAAACAGGGTGAATATAAATGCCAAGGAACCAGCAAAAATGTTGCAAGCAGAGTAAGAATTGTAGTATGACATTTATTTTGTTGATAAAACACATTTGAAATATATACATATATATTGTCATAAAATGTTCTCATAGCAACAAATCAGGTACATGATCTTCAGAGTGCATGAAATAATATTAATTTACTGCTTTACTGCTTTATCAAACCACCATAAAAAAAAAAAAAGAAAGAGAAGAAAGAAAGAAAGAAAAGGAGCCAAACTGCATTTCAGATGTTGGAGTTGATTTGAGATTTAATATAAGTAGCTAAAAATCAGTTCTAAATTTATCAAGTGATGCCTCTTTTTTGCCATGTATCTTTGTATTAAAAATAGCAACAATAAATAGCACAATCAAATTGAGGGAAGCCACACGAGGGCAATGGACAAAACAGGACATCTTGATTTCAGAGGTGAAAACAGTCTGTTCAAGGGCGCAAGGCACACTTGAGGAGCTAGAACCTATAAATTGCCAGAGGCACAAGGCGCACGCATTCGCCAAAGTGAAGGAGCAATATATATATATATATATGTGTGTGTGTGTACATAAAATAAGCTTAAGATACATAATTCTGTTTATAAACTCTAAAGAGTGGTACACTTTCATCCTACAAAACATAAAAAATTTCCTTTTGCATTTTGTTCAACATGCACCATTTCCTTATGGTCCCAAGTTTGTTATTGAGTACTCAAACAGTGAGAAGTAGAGAGTTTGATATTGTCCCGTCTTTTGCACCTACTGCCTTACAGAAAAGCATGCCTAGGTGCACCAAGTATGCGCCTCGCTCGAAAGGGTCTGAGGCACTTTTGTTGTCTCATGCTAAGACACAGTGCCAAGGCATGCGCCTTGACAACACTGGGTAAGTAAATGAATAAATTAATCTAACTATGGTTTTCTTTCAGTCAAAGTTAATTAAAAGAATATGACCTTTTGCCACAACATATTGCTGCTGTAAACCAGTGGTCTTCTTTGGTGTTGCTGCACTAATACGCATAGCTCTAGTTGAGCAATAGACACCATTCATCTCAGTCATAGCACGATTTCTCTCAATCTCATCAGAAAATTTAACAAATCCATATCCCTTGGAGCGTCCAGTATTTGGATCAGTCACAACCTTGGCACCTCTAACAGATGGATAGTGAGCACGAAAGGTCTCTTGCAATAGATAATCTGTAACATCAGGTGCCAAATCCCCAACAAATATAGAATGCTCAGGCCCAGGATCAGTACGTCTTTCTCCAATGCCAAATGATGCCCAATTTAACCTGAACATTTGATCAGTTCCAGGCATTGGTGTCCCATTGTAAGCCTGCAGTATTCTTTCTGCGGCTGCATGAGAAACAAACTCCACAAATCCATATCCCTCGGGCTGGCCAGTGATCTTGTTACGTATAATTTTTATTGAGACTAGCTGCAGAGAGTGGGAATAATGGTTCATTTCAAAGGCAAAATCTACTAAAAAACTACAAAAATGAGTTAAAAAAGGAAACTAATACATTATGAGACTTAGCACATGATGATATCTGATACTACCTGACCTTTAAATTTACCAAATTATTGGGAGTGTTTGTGACCAACACTTAGAAAATTCCCAGAGTTTTCACAAGTTTGATGATTGCAAGAGCCAACAATGGGAATGCATAAAAAGGGAGATTTGAGCAACTTAATACGATAAAACAAAGGGTAGAACCAAAGAAAGATTATTGCCTGATCCTATTTTTTAATTGACATAATCCTCTTGTGCCTTTATTATTAAAATAATTTCAAGCTATAACTTTGAGGTATAAATGGTGATTTTTTGCTTCTTGAATTGAAAAGTGATTTAATAGTAATTTGATAGAATTCATATCGAAAGTGGATATTATTTCAATTTATAATTTTTCTATTAAACGAAAATGTGAAAAGACAATTTTTAAGAACATAACAAAACTAAATACTTTAACAACATCCTGTTTACATAAATTTTATAGAATCAAAATTATGGAAAAAGATAGCCTAGAAAAATTCCCTCAGTAGTCATCGAATTTATTCAAATACCCAGAAGAACAAAACCCAGAAATGTTTTGGACAGATATATAAATTTGGTGTATATAAAGGGGGAGAGAAAGTATGGGAACCTCGCCAGTGTGAGCAAAGCAAGAGTTGAGGTAGGACTCATCGACCCAAAACTGGAGGTCTCCTATCCAAAGCGTACGGACTTCCTCTAGCGATGTTGGATGGTGGTGGTGGTATTGTGTTGTTGCTAGGGTAGCCATTGTTGAAGATGCTCCTTCTGCTTCCGTCGATACCTTACCTAACCAAATTCCGCAAAATCTTCCTTTTTTTCCTAACAAAAGCTCTGGGTTGACAGGTCCATAAATTAATGGACTGGACCTTGGTCTATTTCTTGCTTAGCTAGGCCTGTCTCTGCTTTAATTTTTTTCATTATAATTCTATATTAATTATAAAACTTCTTATTAAAATATATATATATATATATATATAAAGTTCCTCTTTTTTTTTAAAACATTAGTATTTTTTATCCAGTGTGTTTGCACGTGAATATATATAACTGTCGTAACGATTTTGTGTCCGTCCGACGAATTTAAAAACGAAATAAAAAATAACAGAATCGCCACCAATCTTTTTTTGGTTAGTTGCGATTGGTCACCTATTAAAACAAATCTTAAAATTAATTAAAATTTATTAAAATTTATTAAAAAGATAATTTTACAGTCTGTGAAACAGTCTGGTTTCGGGAGTCGGTTACGCGTGGGGAAGGATTAGCACCCCCACAACACCCGCTAAAAACGGTATCAATTAATAACGTGTTATCCTTTGATTTTGATAAAAATAGTCCAATTTTCGGTGTTCAAAAAATAATTTCATTGATTTTTTTATTTATTAAAAAAAGTTTATTCTTGAGAAAAATAAATTAAAACCTTTTTATTGAAATAATTCTTAAAATGTTTCAGTACATTGGTAACATTAAAAGAACTCTTTCTCACCTAGAGATTTCTTAAAGCATCTCTACTTGGAATACTTTTAGAATATCATCTTTAGAGGCTCGAATTTATTTTTCGTAAGAAAATATCATGTTAAAAAAAATTTATTCTCAAGGAAAATAAATTAAAACATTTTTATTGAAATAATTCTTAAAATGTTCCAGTACGTTGGTAACATTAAAAAAACTATTTCTCACCTAGAGATTTCTTAAAGCATCTCTACTCAGAATACTTTTAGAATCTC